AGAAAAGGATAATCTATTGTATATGTCCATATTTCTGGTCTTTCCTGTGTTTCTTCCTTCCTGATGCTCTAACATTTGTTTATCATTTATTTTCTGTTTGAAGAATGTCCTTTAGTCAATCTTTAAGGATAGATCTGCAAAAATTTTTTTAGTTTTTCTTTTTCTAGAATGTTGCTACTTATTTCTCTTTCATTTGTGAAGGATAATTTTGCTGAATATAAAATTTGCAGTTGACAGTTCTTTTCTCTTAGTGCTTGAAAAATCTGCCACTTCTTTCTGATCTCCACATATTTTGATGAGAAATCCTCTGACATTTGAATTAACGTTCCCCTATAGGTAATGTGTTGTTGCTGTCAGGATATTTTCAAGATTTTTTATTTCTCTTTAGTTTTCCTAAGTTTGACTACTACTTAGTATGGATTTCTTTGGATTCATCCTTTTGGGGATTCTCTCAGCTTTTTAAATATATAGCTTTGTGTCTTTCACCAAATTTGGGAAGTTTTCAGCCATTATTTCTTCAAATTGTCTTTTAGCCCAATCTCTCTCTCCTCTCCTTCTGGGACTCTGGTAATATAAATGCTCACTTTATTTTTGTTTTTGTCCCACAGTGTCCACAGCCCTGTTCTTTCCTTTCTTTATTTTCCCCATTCTCTTCCCTTTCTGTTGTTCGTATTGGGTGAATTACTACTGATATTTATTCAAGTTCAGTGATTCTTTCCTCCGTTATCTCCATTCTACTCCTGAGCACATCCAATGAATTTTTCTTTAAATTTCTATTATTATTCTTTTCAGTTTACAATTTCCAGTTGACTCTTTTTTTATAACTTCACTTCCTTTGCTGAAATGTTCTATTTTTCCATTTGTTTTAAGAGAATTCATAATTGATCATTGAAGCATTTTCATGATGACTGCTTTAAAATCCTTTTCAGATATTTCAACATCTGATTTGTCTCAGTGTTAGCATCAGTTGATTATCTTTTCTCATTCAAGTTGTAATTTTCCTCGTTCTTGGCATGATGGGTGATTTTCAGTTGTGTATTAGACATTTTGTCTATTTAGATCTTTTATTGTAGCAAGCAGTTACTCTCTTTCGATTTGGCACACAGTTCCTGGCCTACTTTACATCTGTAGTACTAATCACAATCTAATTTTAAGAATCTTTGTTGTTTTACTTGGTCTGCTTGGTTTTATATGATTCTGCTGGGGCTTCTATTGATCCCCACTATTGTTGCCTATAAGATAATAAAATGTGCTCTTTTGAGTCACTAAGTGTGTAGTAATCTGTTATAGCAGCAAAAAGAATCTAATACAGTAGATGTGGAAGGTGTATGCATATATGTATTTGTGAGTATGTGTAGGGTGGGGGCTCCCTGAAGGAATCATTTTTGTGCACGCTGCTCACTTTGCTTCTCCATCTCTTTGCCTGATAACTCCAATGTGTCCTTTAGGATTCATTTTAGGGGGCATTTGCTGCTCAAAATCTGACTACTTCTCTCTCCCCAAGGCTGACTTGGGCACTCCCTTTGGAGGCTCCAAGGAATCCTGAGTATATAATATAGCATTTTCCATTTTATGTTGTAACTATCTGTATACCTGTGCCCCCTCCTCTAGACTGTAAGCTACGTAAAGACCTAGATTACTCTATACTACCGTGCCTACGGCCGCATCTGATGTGTGGTCTTCGCTGAATAAATGTTTGTCCATTAATTACTCAGCTTGAGTGGTAAGGCATAGTATTCCTCAGAAGCATTTGACTTATCTATTCACCTACAGGACCAAGCTGCAGAAATCATTGCTGCAAGGTGTGCTTTGAAGCTCTCTGGTGATCCCTCATCTATGACTATTGCCAAACATTTGTACTAGAGATGAGACTATGTTATAAGGGCCTTTGATATTTCCAATGATTCCAAGCTAAATGATCTTGGCAACTGCATTACACAGAAATCATTCCAACAAAAATGAAGAAACTAAAGCTCAACAAATCAAGTGACTTGCTCAAAACGTGGGTTCGGCTCAAATCCTGGTCTACTAGCTATGCTACACCATTTTTTTCAACAAGTCATTCCCGTCTCTTCCCAGCCCCACCTCTGGCCAGGGTCTGCCTCATCCTTTCAGCTTCTGCTTCAGTCATCAACGATGGTTCCCCAGTTGTGAACTGCACTTTTATCCAATTCTGCCTTTAGACTCAGTTGAATATATAAAAATGTATAGAAATTGGCAGCATGCTTTAGTTCTTTTTCCAGAAAATACAAATTGGCAGAAAAACTTTTCTCTTTCTTAAAAGTTTTTCCTAACTACAAAAGGAATAGTCTTTGTAGGAAATTTAGAAAATAACAGAAACATATGAAGATCAAAACTAACATCACTCGTTATTTTGCTACCTACAAATATCTACTTTTAACATTTTAGTCCTATTTCTTTTTTTCTCTTCCTATTTTTATACTACATGCATTTTTAATATGTAAAATTGAGATAATAAAGCATTTATTCTTGTTTTTTTCCCACTTAATATTATACCATAGTTTTTTATTTGAAATTCATGATTATTTGAAAACATTTTTTTTTAAGATTTTATTTTTCCTTTTTTTCCCCAAAGTCCCCTGGTACATGGTTGTGTATTTTTAGTTGTGGGTTCTTCTAGTTGTGGCATGTGGCATGCCGCCTCAGCATGGCTTGATGAGTGGTGCCATGTCAGCGCCCAGGATTCGAACCGGCGAAACACTGGGCCACCGAAGTGGAGTGCATGAACTTAACCACTCAGCCACAGGGCAAGATCCTGAAAACATTTTTAATGACTGCATCATATTTCAGCCTATGAAGGTACTAGAATCTGTTAATTTATTCTCTGATTTTCGAGGCTCATGTGATTATTCAAGATAATCTCCTTATTTTAAGATCTGTACTTCAATTACACCTATGAAGATTTATTTGCCATGTAAACTAACATATTCTCAGGCTCCAGGGACTAGAAAGTGATCATCTTTGGGGGGCCATTCTGGCTACTACAAACATTTTGTGGGATCTTTATAAGTATTGCCAGAATTCTTTCCAGACAACTGAGCCAAGATTTCTGCTACCAGCATTGAATGAGACAAACTCAACTCCCCACACTCACCAGCACAGAAGGTTCTCTTTTTTTATTTTAGTAATACGGTAGACAAAGCAATTGTATTTGATTGTGTTTTTACTTGATGTCTTTGATTCATAGTGAGGTCAAACCATTACAAATACTTCACCATTCATTTTTCTTCTGTGATTTCATGTCCATTGCCCATTCTTCTATTAGATTCTTAGTATTTCCCTTGTTGATTTGTATTATCTCTTCACACATTGAGGGTATATTGGTCTGTATTTTATACTAGCTACTGTTTTTTCAATTGTTTATTCTTTAATGTACAGAATTATTTTTTACTATTGTTTAGTTGTATGTATTCATCATTGCCTTTGTGATTTCTTCCATTGTGTTTTACTTTCACACGCAGCTATCAATAGTTCTTCCTGAAATATCTACTGGTTTTGGCTTTCACATTGAACTTTTTCATTTTGGTGTGAGGTGTGAAGAAAAGCTCTAAATTGAGTTTTTCAATCAGTTTCTTCAACACTGTCTATTGAATAATTAGCACAAAACTTTTTATTGGGAAAAGACACCCACGAGGGTGCATGCTGCAGGAGCAAGGCTATGCAAACTGCTTCTGCACATGAAGGAAAATGCAGAATCAAGAGAAAATGGCAGAACTTCCAAGCTGATAGGTAAGAAACAAATGAAGTCATTTCTCCTGTTTCATCGATATGTGCCTGTAACAATGGCAGAGAAAACTAATATAAAGTTGATTACAAATAGCCAGAGATGGTTTTTGATGTCTTGGGCCTATCTAGGTAGTACTGGGTTTCCTAATCAAGATTCAAAGTAACTTAGAAAAAGTTATTCTTAACCAGATATCTCTATAAAACAAGAACTAGGTTAGCATACATTAAATAAAGCTAATTACAAGGCAAATATATATACCAACAAAAAGAAAAAGAAAAAAAGAAGACTCGTACCCTCCAAATTTGAAAATCTAAACATTAATTATGACAAGACCATTCTAATTAATCTTATCTCAGTAAGACAGAAATTGCAGAACTTCAAGCTATAAAGACCTGGCCCCAGAAGGATGTAATTAAGACATCTTAGGAAAATGAATAGGCATATCACAAACTAGGAAAATATATTTGTAATCCGACAAAGGACATGTATATATAAAGAATATATAAAGACCTCTGACAAATCTACAACAAAAAGACAACCTAATTTTAAAAATGGGCAAAAGCTTTGAATAGACACTTCATAAAAGGAGACATGAATGGCCACTAAATGCATGCAAAGTTTACAACACTAGTGATCAAGGAAATGGAAATGAAAATTCCAATGAGGTAGCATTTCACACCCACTCAAAAGGCTGTAAAGTACAAAAGAGAATGCCAAATGTTGGCAAGGCTGTGGAGCAACTGGGACTCCTATATATTACTGATGAAAATGAAAATGGGGGAGCCACTTTGGAGAGCCATTTGGAAGTTTCTTAGAAAGTTAAGCATACACTCACCATATGACCTGTCAATGCCGCTAGTAGTCTGTTTCTACCCAATCCTCAGTGCTCCCATGTTGCTTTCCACTCTCTCAAATCTCCCATGTCTTTGTTTTACTATTCTCATGTTTCTTCTATTTTCTCTTTTTTCCATTCTAAATGAATTCTCCCTAATTAACCACAAAGAGACTCATTTCTTCCACATTCATTCTAGGAGGTAAATATGTGATGACATAAAATAAAAATGATTTAGGGTGAGCTGTGTATTTTGCCAAAATAAGATGGCAACTATTTTTTTGACACCTATACATGTTAGTTATATGTCAAAAGTAACGATAAAAATGGAACATATACCAATATAAGATATTATTTAGATTTAAATTTTTTATGCAAATAATTCACAGCCTTCAACAATAGAAAGAAAATCACATCATAGTCATTTGATAAGTTCATTTATTATATACCAATATACACTTTCTGTAATAAAAAAAAAGCCTCCCAATACATTGAACCATCTTATAAATGAAATAAGAAAATAAAATTTTCATCTGTTTATAAATGGGGTTAAATTCACCAGTCCAAGATACCATATGTGTGTCTGCCCTGCAGTCCATATGAACTCTAATCCAGAAGATGGCTCTGAGAACAAGACGGCGCTTTATCATTTGGCACACAGTATTGCTCTTGAATATTTATAAATTACACATGTTGATATTTTCAAGTTAGTCATTTCAAACATAAAGCATTCAAAATATATACAGATTTTACAGTATTCCAATTTTTTTGGATTAATCATTGATATTTACATTTAAATACATTCAGATTAAACATTTTTTTTAACACTCAGAAGGTACCTATTTCCACTTTCTATTTTGATACACTCTTTAGATGAATGAAAATGAAAATATGTCTTAAAGGTGCTCTTTGGCAAATTTTTTCCAATAGTAGTAACTCACAAGTTATGATAGTTTCTAGTAATGCTCAATTTCCATAGCTTTGCACCATGTTACAGTATTATGCCTCTAAAAAGTAATGCACAAAACAAATATATATTTTCTTAAGGCACATTCTAGAAAGACTATTGAAATATGACTTAACATTATCAGACATATACGATACTTTTATTTCATTCTTGGCTTTACTAAAAATATAAAATATACAACAAATGCTGCTACTGATTTGAAAAAAAATAGTAGCAAGCTCCAGAAATTCTAGGCAGTAAGTACTAATTTTTAAGTCCATTTCATGTAAGTATGTTGCAGAAGTGAGCAATAATAATAGTTTGCATCTCTTTGTGATGTTAGCACTTTTATTTTTGTGGAGAACCAGTCAACATTGTATTAAATGGCAAACGAATGTCAGCGAACACCTGTGCAAGCTAAAATAAACCAAGTCCTATACTAGACAAGCTAAATTAAAAGAATGACCTTAGGATTGATAATTACCTGCAAATAAAGAACTTATTCTCTTGTATATGATTATGATATTATCGTAAATGTTGAAGAGCATTACTGAACTATATATAACTTAGGTCTCAAATTTAAAATATCCCCAATAGACAGATACATACAAATGGATTTTTGAGCCGATCAACTTAATTCCCTCCCACCCCCAATAATATAAATGTTTGGACTGTGAAGAGAGACTACTACACATGTAAAAAATAAAAATCAACTGTACCATACATTAAAATTCTGATGACTACAGAATAAGATTATATACATAAACGTATAGCAATCACAGTTTCCTGCACTGAATGTTTATCAAATAAAAATGTATCAAACAATACTGGGTAGCATATCTCCACATGAATCGTGGCCTTCTAAAAATTCTGAATGAGAATGGAAGACGAGAGGGAGAGCATTGTTCAATGACAAAGCATGACAAGAGGACGAGGAATAACATTAAAAAGCAAATGCTTCCAGAACAGGCAGGTGAGCTGTAAGCAATAATGCTTATTTTTTTTGTCGTTGCTCTATATTTTAAATAAAGCCCCTCTCTATGTTTAGTCAGATGTTTTAACATTTACAAAAAATCTATTTAATAAAGAAGTCACTAATTCAATGTCACAAACAGGATGGGCAAAATATTCCTTTACTGTTGACAATAAGATGTTCTAGCCTGGTGTCTGATCGTTCATGTGTCTGACAGGGACAGTTCAGAAGACATGCCTTTTGCCTCTGTTACTACATCGACCCAGAGTATTTGGTGCAAGACTGGCGGAAGGCATTAAGTGGTGATGGCTTTGCCACCAGGGCACTTTGGTTTGATGTTCTGAGAATACAAGTATTTGGTACTTTTTTGAGGAGGAGGAAGGGGAGGGTAGGGGAAAGGGTGGAATCTGATGGCCATTACATGCAGTTACACTTATTCTGCTTGTACAGCAGCAAAAATACATCTTCTCACACTGCTCCAGTAAAACCTGGGTAGAAATGTGCACCACAGATTTTAAACATACAAACAGCCATTCTTGACCAACACGATGATTTTCTCTTCCGCAGGTCCCCGGTGATGTTACTAGTAAACGTCTTTGGAATCTTCCTGTTATTTCCTATGGATAACATTCCAATCAAGATAACACAAAGGTCTTTTGGAGCATAATTTGCAACCATTTCCAATAGGAAAAGAAAGTATTTTTCCTCGGGTTAGTGATGCTTAGAATTTGGGGGATTGTAAATCCAGTCAATTATAATGAGTGCCATGCTTCCAATCATGAAGATGATTCCCACCACAAGGAAAATTAACGCCTGTAAGTCAGAGCGAACTTGTTAGGGAACACAGGAACCATACTGACTTAGCACAGTTTGCTTGTATAAGTTGGTTACCTAAGGCCATGATCTGATTTTCATATTGAATTATATTATTCTTGTAGCTCAGATGTCCATGCCTAGCAGTTCAGTCTATTTAGAACCCTAGTTGGCAAAAGAGGGTGAATACAATAGAAAGATTTATGTTCTTTCCAAATGTTCAAAACAGAATAATGGTTAATTGATTTGGTACATCAAAATGATGGAACAGCCCGTGATCATTAAAAATCAAGTGATGGAAAAAAGATTAATGACCTAGGGAGTGCTCACAATCTTTTAGGTGAAAGAGGGTGAGTCATAAAAGAGCAGTATTAGATTTTATAAAGCAAACAAATAAAAACAAAAGTCTAATAATATGTTGTACATTCCTTGAAAAAAACCCAGAGTGTATATATGTGTATGCATATGTAATACACAATATTTCAGAATTTCAACACTGGAAGAGGCCTTATATATTACCACACAGATCACCCTCCTAATTCTATATACGAGGAAGCAGCAGCTAAAATTTTTTTCACTAGAAAGAATCTAGGAGATAATTTTACTCATTTTTACATCTTGCAAAACTGAGAATGGGTCACAAACAGGACAAGTAATTTGCTAAGGTCACACTGCTGTCAACGTCCAAGAAGATGGACTGCATAGAGTGGAAATCTGGGGATGAGATGATAGGAGGAGCTTTTGATACCAGACTGGCCTGAATCCCTGACCCATCCCAAGAGATGAATGGCTCCCAGGCAAAATTCAGGGTAATGCTGTAAGAGCCATTCATTTCAAGTCTTGATATAAGACTTTATTAAGCAGTCATTGATAACATTTAATTATTGGAAAAAAGTTATTTCTAGTATATGTTTCTGTAGTACAGTTATGGAAAAGAAATATATACTCTCTAGTTTAATAAAACTATATTTTATGTCTAAAGAGGTTAATTGGAAAACAAATGGTTCTGTTCTGGATCTCAGTCCATACCAGGGGACAACAAGGTACTATGGAGGGGGAAAAAAAGCAGCATCTTTTTTCTTTTTAGCCTTGCAAACCTAACAAATAAGACCGAAATGCTTAAATTATTTCACACTCTGCTAGGGAGCCTAATTCCTTCCTGCGTAATTTCCTGTAGATGTTGCAGCAATGGCTTGGTGGGGGTGGAAACTGACACACATGTCCACCTGTGGGAACACTCCATTAGCATTTGACAAGTAGGAAGGACTCAACACAAGACATTTGATACTTGAAGAGAAGAAGTCCTGGAATCATCTGGGTGCCAGAAATCTACCCCCCTTTCTCTCCACCGGAGAGTTTCGGCCCATCTTTGATTTGGGGTTCTTGTCCATCAATTCATTGTTCTCAGCCAAGTGTATTTTCTGGTTTACTCTAAGTGGTCAAAGAGCAATTTACAAGGGGAGAATTGCAAGCCTTACTTACTCCGATTTTTTGGGGTGACCTAAGAGGTTCTTTCTTGACCAGTTTAAGATAAAAACCTGCCGGAAGAATGAAAATCAGCATAGTGGCAGAAGAAGCCCCTGAGGAGAGAGACATAGGACAAGTCAATGTCATACACAGCAGGTCCGACTCGCCGAGGCAGAGCCCGGGGACAAGCTTCTTAAAGAAACCAAATCTACAGCTACCCCAGTCCTAGCAGTCAAAGCACTATAAGCTTGTCTTGGTTGCTTATTCAAAGAAAATACGTTTAGAAAGAAAATTAAAATGTGCCCAAATTTAGCTGCAGACTAAGTATACACGACATATAATAAACAACAAAAAGGCTGAATGTTACAAATTTACGGGAAATTAGTAATAGAAACACGTACCAAGGAGGCTGAACTCATCACACACCCTTCCTATCCACTTCTAACTTTTCTAGGTGCTTACACCTAATTTTTGAAAGTTTTATATTGTATTTTAAGTTTGAGTCATCCTTCAAATCAGCAGAATGAAAAATTAAATGTATTAACAGGTCACATAGTTAAGGGAAATAACATGCTTTACAAAGTCAACCTCCTCCTTCTCCTTTAAAGGTACCCTTTAATGCTCAGCTGATCCTCACAGACCTGAGAGAGCATCCTGTCGGTTAAATCTATCTTCCTTACTTTTTGATGCAGCATTAAGACCTACGTCCAAATCCTGGGTCCACTCCAGGGTATATGACTTGATTTCTATGGGGCTCAGTTTCCTCATATGTCAGAAAAAGCAGTTGGACTAGATGAACTATAAGATAGCTTTTAGCGCTGACATTTTCTGATCCTGTGAATAACCTCCAGTGTCACCTGGGAGGGAGGGAAAGTGACGAGCTGGAGCCTGGCTGGGCTGGTAGGAATACTGTGAGGCTGAGATAGACCGGGGATCCTCGATCTCCCAGCACTGGCTCCCTGTCTGCCCTTTGAGGAGCTATCAGCTTGAGTTGACTAAATAAATGCCTTTCTGAAACTTACCTATGAATCCAAAGATGTCTTTTATCGCTGGTACAAGGATGACCAAAACATTATTAAGCGCAATCACTATGGCTGCAATCAGGAAATGTCTTATCCAGCTGAAGGGTTTTTTGGGAAATAACAGTGTGGTCACCGATGCACGAATCTGCAACAAAGTTCAAAGCCAAGGTCACTGCTTTGCTTTTGACTTTATCTACTATTTCAAACATTCTCATCCCTCTAAAGCATTTTCTTTGTTTTGCATTTTTTTCCAAGAAAAGATCTGGATGCTGATTTCTTTCCTAATTTTTTTTATTGTGGCAAAACACACAACATAAAATTTACCATCTTAATCGTTTCGAAGCGTTCACTTCAGTGGTTTTCAGCACATTCATATTGTTGTGCAAACTTGATGCTGATTTTTGATGTTTGAGATAGTGTCATTTTTCCGTGGTGATATGTCTTGTGCTTACATTCTCAGCTTTCAGAATTTTTTCTTAAAAATCATCTCAGAAGGAGATAAAACAACAGACCAGATATATAACTCAGAGGCACAGCCAAACCCTTGCTGGTTTCTAGTTATGTCTCATCCAACTGGATTAAGTATGAAGGGCAAGCACCGAAATGATCTGCATGTGATTGTGAACAGAATTTTTGCAAATTTGGGTTTTTCTTAATTTTGCATTTTATTTAACAATTTTGCTACCTCACATTTAAAAACATATGATACTCTTGGTATTTATGCCCTTCTCTTTTTCCCTTTTATTTGCCCCTCATCCACAGATTATAAACGCACAGGTCAAGGAACAGGGTCTGATAATATTAACATTCCTCAAAATTTCTAGCTTAGTGTCTTGCACACAGCAGGCACTCAATAAACGTTGAATTAAATTAAGAGAATGAATCTTTTCCCCCCTCCAGGATCCTTGACAGATTTCAGCCTTATTTCAGCAGTTGAAATAAGTAGGTGAAGGGTGAAGAGAGGCTCCTTTGTGGCAGTGGCTCAAGTTACTCTCGTGTAACTGGATAAAAAGATCCTTGTGAGTAAAGGGAGGGAGTGGTGTTTGTATTTCAACAGCTGAACCAAGTTGAAATCACTCTTATCTTTGGAATCTTTTAGAGGACACTTTTGACTTAGTGGAATTAGTCTACTGGCTTTTCAATAAGTGAGCACTTCAGTTAAGCTAGGACTTAACATTTTTAGAAATACTAGGATTGATTGTCACTTTCAAATTTTACTTCTGAAGTGTCTTAATGGTGTGGAGACGAGAACCCATTTCAAGGAGAGAAAATGTAAACTACATTTTGAAACGCACGTATGAATGACAAAAACTTCGCGCTGAATTGCTTGCAGTGACTAATGTGACATTCCTTTCATACCACTCGACCAAAAATTAAAGCCATATGTTTAGGTTTAAAAGGCAATCTCATTTCCAGAATGGCAAACCAGAGAGTCTCTGGAAACGCTTCACGAGTGACTTTGTAAGGATTTTAAACATTGAATTGGCAAAAATTATGAAACTCACTCTGAAACGTAGACTGAGGAAAGCAAATTGTTTGATTTCGTTTTCCCAGCAGCCTAGAGATTCTACATTATGACCTACACTTAGTGCCTATTCAATGTTGTCCAAACTGGTCTAATTAGCAGGCTTACCATAAGCTTTCTGTGGTACGTACATAGTGCTTAAGGATTTTTTGTCTAAAAGTGCTAACATTATAGAATAAACAAGCAGATAAAAGGTTGTTTTTAGGCAGAGGGCACTTCTATGCACTTTTTAGTCTTTTGCTAAAATAATGCATTTAATTTAATGAGCTGAGTTAGAGGCAACCCCATATGTACAGGGCCTCCGGATGTAAATGCAGCTTCCGAAGGTCTCATGGCTCCCAGAAAGACTAAGGTTTGGCCTACTGCTGTAAGAACACAGACAGTTCACAGGAATAATGGTTGGAGTAAATTGCGAAAGCCTGCTCCTCATAGTGAGTAAGGAATAACAAAATCCCAAACGGAACTCAAGGCATATAGAGTTGCCAAAGCATTCCAGGAGAGAGGAACAGGGAGCGAGTAGGCTGCTACTGGCAGTAGATGGTGGTGGAAAAGAACAGAAGGAAACTCACTGGTCATTCCATGTTAAAATGCTGCCTTGAGGGGTGAGCCTGGGATCAAAAGGTCCTCAGCAGTTCTATTTACCTATGTCAGGATCGAGACAACTCTGGCTTATTGCCCACAAAGCATTGCCTGCTGTTCCACTCATTTAAGTGCCCTTTTCTCTACTGGGGCATACTGATAAGAACCTGGAAATGTGGGTCAAAAGCTATGAGTAGAGGAAGTCCCCAGCAACAGTCATGGCCTCTGACTCAGAAGGATTCCAGAAAAGTTCTATGCAGCTTGTAGAGAAAACATCTGTTATTTCCAGAGTGTTCAGAACAGGAATCTATTAGGAGGGTGCTATGTTCTAATGTGGGGACCCAATGTGAGACTCAGAAATGTGGAAGCAGAGTGAAAAGTGGGAGCCTGAACTAAAAAAAAAAACCACTTTTATTGCTTAGAAGTGAACCAGTTTCACCTCGCAGGATTGCTTAGGACAAGACTGTTGGAAATACCTGTGGATCACTACTCTATTCCAGTTCACAGCATCACCTGCCATATTTTGATGCCTACATCTACGTCTGCTTCAAAACAGGAGATCTGAAGGCAACATAAGTGAAAAGAATGATTTTACTAGGATAAAATGAAATAGAAGAAGCTAATCTGCGACATGACCTCTTTTTTTTTTAAAGGTGTGGCGGGTGGAATTTGAATCTGTGTGTTCTTGACAAACCTGTTCAGATTATTTGGTTTTCTGTTTTTCATGGTGATGTGTGAATTTTACTACATAAAAGGAAGCACAAGCTGATAATGGCATTATGAGTCCCTGGGAAGGACGTGCAGTCCCATAATAGACACCTCTGCCCCATATCACCCCCCTCCCACTAGGAAGAAAGAGAAGAGAAAATGTTAGGCTGCTGGTAAAAAAGCTAGTCTCAATTCACTTCATTTATTCATTTGTTCAACAAGCAATTCAAGCAGTTACTTTGTGCCTTCCACTAAGAAGGAAAAACTAATCTAACTGGAGAAAAGAAAGATAATAAATGGAGTAATAAAAGAAAAAACCACCCAACCAACCACACACCACCAACAAAACCTTTGTCATCTTTGCCTGGGCTCCTAAGAAAGAGAGCCCACTTATCATTTGTTGAAAGAAGGAGAACACAAAATAATACCTAAAACTGACAGATTTTAATCCAGATTATGTTTTGTTTGTTTTACTACTTGTATGCGGGGATATCAAGGCAAAGTAAATAAACTTATTGGTCAAATAAACTTACTTCAAAGAAACCTGTCAGGAGAACGGTGCTGTGACTTTTCATTTGACACATTGAAAATCGTGGCTCTAAATTGAAAGAAACAAACAAAAACACCACTAACAACTTCTATCACTTTGGGGGAAAAGATTCTAAATGTAGCCTTGTGCGACTTGACTGAGACAAGGAGGCAGGACCTGCTTTGATGTCGTCCATCACATCCACGGATGGATCATTGAGCCAGGATCCTCATTCCAGCTGAAGTCCATGGCAAACGGTGGCAAGGGGAATAGCCTATGCTTTTGCTAGAAAAGGCAGTTTATACATCTGAGGAAAAGGCAAGACTCCTTTGGAGACAGTTTTTCTTAGCAAACATTGCTGAACTCATCCTGTGCCAGTCAGTCACTGTGTGCATCCCTATCCTCCAGTGATTTATAACCCAGAGGAAAAGGTGGATCGTCTCAATGATACACAGATCGTCTCAATTAACACTCTAAGGGCCAGGGCAGAATTATGTGCAAAATGTTTCATAGATGCTACTGTTGAGTGAAAATACATAAAAAAGGCCAGCAGTAGTTATTTTTCTGAGATCTGGTTCTAATGGTCAATTTTGGTTCTAATGGACATCTAGTGGGAGATGTTTACAAACTATTGCCCTTCCTGATGGTCAGATTTACACAAGAGCCTTATCGTCACAGAGGGGAAGAATTTCTATGGGGAGGTCTGGCTTTTTAATGTTGAAGTGACATGGTCATTAGTGAATGAAACGCTGACTTTCCCTTCCCATTATTGTGATGCCAGCTATCAGCGTCATGCTCTGAGCACTGCGTTAGTTCAACAGTTACCAACCCGCTGCGTGACCTCGGCCAAGTCCATTAATCTCCTGAGACCACAACTTGAAAGCACCATATTTAGCGCTTATAAATAAAGCAATACAGAAGCCCATCACAGATTTCTTTTATAAAAGGCTTTGATTCAGTAACGATGTGAGAGCCTACCGTGTGCCAAAATTTAGTTAGTGATATCTTTACACACAAAAACAAAGGTTCCAGATACTCTTTTCTCAGAGATGCGGTTTGCTTGGAATTTTACCCCACGGTACACTTTCCGCCTACAGCTGTCTCTGCGTTGCACCCACCATGGAGCTGATTTTAGGCTAAAGCTGTGTGCATGTCACTTGAAAAATACCTTCAGATATATGAAAGGCAAGATGTTATTTAAGAGTCAAATATTAGCCACCATAGTTATAAGGATCTGATTTCATGCGCTCATGCAAAAGGAATGTGCCAAAAAATATTTCAGCACGTGAGCTGCATTTAAAGCGACCACAGTGTCATTATGTGACTTGTCCTCATATGCTAGGTCCTATGGAATATTCTGGACAGAACAGTGCTGGTTACTGTGTCTCTTACTTTTCCCCCTAAAATGAATGAGCAACTTCAGTGTTTATGAAAAGAGAAGAGTGGCAGGGGACTGGAGAATTGTGTTTATCCATAGGTGGTGGTTTTCACTCACGGAGCCCAAATTTCCACAACCTGCCCTGCTCTGTGATGCCAGAACGACTGCCGCCAATGGCAAATGCCAAGAAGGGGCGAGCCCAGTGTAAGTCGGCAGAGGGCATGCATCAGTTCTGGGGGCAACAGAAGAGACATATGATGAATAATATAACTATTTTTCAAGAAACTTGGTTCGAGTACGTCATTTACTTAACATGAGTCCCCTTCTCGTTAGCCTTCAAGGAATGAGATTAAATAGGTGAATTTTGAATATTACTGCAACACAAAAAACTGGGGGGAGAAAATGAAATATCTTCAAAACTGTGGTGAAAATGCGATATGATTCAAAAGTTTATATGGCTTTGGCTTTCAAGTTTCAGAAGTTATATGAATTCCTATTCATTTCTACTGATCCACAAGATAGAAATTGAAGAACAGCCTTTTGAATTTGTTTAAAAATAAATTTTGACCTCTGTAAAACTGGAAAATAGGAATAAATTTTGTAACTTTTTTCCTTCACTTCAAAAATATTTAACATCTAAAAATATTTGTTATATCTACATATTAAATGGTCTTATTTTAAATGGCTCCAAAATGCTACATAAAAATAATCATGTCCTTGGGCACTGCAATTGCAAACTCACAATAAAATTAAATCCACATCAAGTGAGAACATATGTACTAATCTCGGGGGTCAAGATTTCATCAAACCTGCATGTACTTACTGGGAACAGGACAATGGGCACAGTTAGCATTACTGCCACAAGGACCGCCAGGCGCACCATGAGGAGAGGGGTGTCAAATGTGTACACTTTGCTGTAAGCATAAAGTAGTTCATCTTCAACTTCTCCTGCAAAGAGCAAGAAGAGAATGAGTCCACCGCGTGTTGTCAAGTCGGCACTGGTTACCCATGGTAACATTTTACAGAGGGAACACAGTACAGTAGAAAGAACCCAGATCTGGGAATCCACACACCTCCATTTTTATCCCGTCTCTGAGCTTATTAAGCTGTGTGACCTTTGTTCAAATGATCAAAGGGGCCCTGAAGTTTATAAAGTTGCAGGAGCTAATATAAAATTACTAAGGCGCTCCTCCAGCTCATCTGCATTGTGGTAAATCTATCTTTGCTCTTCAGAAACATCACAAAACAGATGACAAGTTGAGGGGCTCTGATTGGAGGGTGTGAAAGACCCAAGCCTCACCAGCCTGTCCCTCACATCCTACCACCTTCCTCTGTCCCCACCTGCCCAGCTATCCCTGATGCAGCTTCTCTGAACCCAGTAGGGAAATTCTAGAACAAATGATCTCTAATATTTTTTCAAGTCAACAATTATGACTCCAACACGATACTGAAACACATATTTTTGGGCTTTGTCAAGCTTTTGCTTGTCTTTCGAAACTCATTGGAGTCAGTATAAGTAACATGCAAGAATGAGTTACTATGACTTTTACAGGGTCTCCCAATGAATGTTGCTCTAAGAATGAGATGCTGCCTTCCTGGAAGACACATTCATTCAGAATTCCAGACACAAATGACATGGAGGTGCTTTTAGAATCAGATGAAGTTTGATTTTCCCACTAGTCCCCTCAAAATCAGACAAAGTGGGGGGTAAAAATACCTTCAATGGTATTGGCCTGACTTTCATTAACTCACAACCAGCAAGGAGTTGCTGTCCAATCTAAAGCGAGTACTTGGTTAACAGCCAAATATTAGTCAAATAGAATAAAACCCAAGCAGATGTGCTCTCCTCATACCTTTCTTCCCTAATTTGTCTTGCAATCAATTTAATTTACCAAATCAGGAAAAAAATCCAAAAAGTTAGAGAGGTTTATACAAAAAATATAGTTATGTTGAGAACATAGATTAGTGTGAACATCGGCTACCAGGTCAATGTTTGATCCCCTGAAATTAGTCTATAGGGCCATGCTTCATGGAAGGGAATCCTACTCCTTTTGCATCCTGTTAAGATGCCATAGAGGAGGGGCCAGCCCACTGGCATAGTGGTTAAGTTTGTGCACTCTGCTTTGGTGGCCCAGGGTTTGCCTGTTGGGATTCTGGGCGCGGACCTACACACCTCTCATCAAGCCATGCTGAGGTGGTATCCCACATAGACGAACTAGAAAGACCTACAACCAGGATATACAACTGTATACTCAGACTTCGGGGAGAAAAACAAAAAGAGGAAATGTTTCAGGCAAAATCTAATGTGGCCATAGGCAGTTTTTTCCTTTTGGTAGTACATTCTTAGATTGAAGGCAATGCTGTCATATCCTTCTCTTTTCTAAGGGAACTATTCACTACAACAGAATAGAATGGGATAAGCCAGAAAATTTGCCTAATGCTCTAAGCCCCCAGATTCCACTTGACCAGTAAATAAAAAGCAAGTTCCAATTCAAGGACTTTGTACTTTTTCTGCCATTTGCTTAGTAGTTACTCCACCAAAAGAGCTTTACAACATGCAATTGGATTCCCTCTCATTGCTCCTAGCTTGAGATGGCCTAGAGAGTCAAGCCAAATAAATATAACTTATACCTTAAGGAAAATAATTAAATTTGAAGGGTGGTTTTTATGAAACATGTGTTATTCACAAATTGTTGTAGCCTGTTAGCCAGACTGGTTCGGGTCCCATTTTCTTAGGTCAAGTGACAAAGTATATGAATTGAATACATGTATCTACAGATCATGCTGCTTATAGAGGGTAATTAAAAGAATTATACCTACCCGGGTTAATGATCAGTCCAACTAGGATTTGCACAAAGAGAATGACTGTGACAGAGTGACCTACCATAAAAGGTTAGGTAACCAAAGAGGGCAGCCAGCAGGTACATGACAAGCACCCCTGTGATGGAAACATTTGAAACTGTTTGCATTTTCCTCCGGGACCGACTGAAAAGACAAAGAACACTGAGTTTTGTTTTTCTAAACTTATGAAAAGATCACTTTTTACAAATAAAATTAAAAAATAATGGAAGAATCTATGTCTGTTTTGTTCATTATAAAACCACATTTCTAGTGCAGAAATATAGCTTCTTTAAATTTATCTTAGAGAGCTGCGGAGGATTCGTTTCCATTTTTCTTAAACACTGGATCTTCAGTCTTAGAAGCAACCATTTTTCTGGAAGAGCACCTGTTTATTTCATGTTGATAAGTAAGCTTGTCTACTGAAGATTTAAGGATGTAATTAATGTGAGGATTAAATTGGCTCCTGGTGTAGAAGCCTCCATATTTCACAATGCGACGGGTTTAATGAGGAGAAGAACCTACTAGAATCAGCTAAGCGCTACCTCCAGGAGTTCAGACTACCAGGAAGCCTGATATTGTTTCCTGTAGTTTCTGGAAACCATTTCTAGAGGGCACCCAGCTTTTTAACGTCAATTCTCAGGCCTCTAGAGTAACTGCTACATACGATTTTTCAAGTAAATCAAAGACATCAAAACACTTGAAAGTGTTCCAAAAATTTTTTATGAGGTAGATCAGAATTTATGGGGAAAGTTATTGGTATTTAGTGAGAACAAAGACTGAGGTTATTGATGTCTGAGTTAAAGAAGTTGAATTATTACATGACACTGTCCCCTAAGGGTAAAGAGAGAAGCTGTGGTAGTGGGCTCAGATCCACTTCATCCCCAAGTAGATGTCAACAACCTCAAAGGGAAAGGAATATGAACAAGTCATAGAATATGAGCTGGAAGAAACAAGATTGTCTAACCAGAGTCTCCATGTACAGATAAGATAATGAAGGCCAGATATTGGCGCATCTCTGTGATGAATGTCTTGCAAGTAAGGGTTGGGAAGTGACCACAAGTGACATCAGTGGCTTAGCAAGGCCACTCTAACTAAAATTTTTCATCTTCATGGGTGCCATCATATCCAGTTTAGGTGACATCACTTCTTTCTACCAAAATTCAAATTCCCATTCCCCATGCCTGCCCAAATCCTTACAGCCTCGGCTCCCCCTCCCCCTGCCCTGAACCTCTCCCCTGGACCATTAGGGTGGAAGAATAGGTAATGAGGTGAGGGGGCTGATTCGTACCTTTTTGGTTAAAGTACATTACTGATAAGTGGTTGTAGCACAAACTTTCTGTGAAGAGAAAGCTATAAACTACGCTTCTATATAAAACACCTTTGAACATATGAGCTCATTTTCAAAGCAAATTAGAAGGCTAAAATGATGACTGCCTTACTCTTTAAGTTCACTGTAGATGGGAAGGACCTCAGGGTGGCATACAAAAGCAAATGCTAGGATAGGAATTGCATAGGCGGTCTGCAAAACAAAGACAACACAGCATGTTTAGCATTCCAACACAGATGGCAATGCCAGGCCATCTCAGCTTACGACATAAAAACTCAGAGGGCACATCCCCAGGCCTGTGACTTACCCGGGAGTTGAATATGAAGTATTTGGGTTGACACTTGTCATCACTGTGTGCTTCATACTCTACTCCACTGCTGTGAAGAGAGCCCTTGGCCTCGTTCTCATCGAGCCCTGTAGGATTCTGGTGGGTGTAATCCATCATGAAGTTCACACCACTACTCTCAGAGTTGTTGGGTAGCATTACCACGTGCATTGGAACTGTATTGTTGAATGTCAGATTTCCAACATTGTGGTCCAGAAGAGGCAGAGGGCAGGGTATTTGGAATTTCTTGTAAATCACCTAGACATGGTCATTAAAAAAAAGAAAGAAAGAAAAAATCAGCCTTTTGAGAAAAACAATAAAACAAAAATCCATATGGCTTATGAGGTAGAGGTGAGGGGCCTCTCCTCAGGATTCCTTTCAGATTATTGGGCAATGGAGACTCTCTAACCTTTGTGCTAAGGAAAGAATTGAAACTATGATTGGCTGCCCTGCCCCTTAGAGTCAACACGGGACAGTATTTTGCATGAATCTATCCCAAGCTTCATTCAGACTCAACAATGAGAAAGATGAGCATTTCCTTGCTACATTTCAAATCTTTTATTTCTTTAAACTAACGATAATATGGTTCACTAAAAAGTCGCCCCTCCTCTTTTGCCTCTTTGGGCATCCATATTATAAGAAATTCCCCTTTTTGGGTCCACTGTGGTTGTCCTTTCTTCATGGGTAGAATGTGTAAGAGAAAATGGCGGATTCATGCAGATATGGCTAATTCTATGGCCTACTCATTTCTCTTCTGAGACTCTTCACGTCTTCTTCCTCTTCCTTTCTAAATATTGGGTTATTGTCACATTCCTGCCTGAAGTGTTCCTTTTGTCCAAATATACATTCAGTGTGTCTAGAACATACAATTAGTAATGGCCTTGACATTCTAACAACTATTTTTAAACACATGACTGTTCTTTTCTCATTCCAAATTAGAATATAAGACAATTGCTTGTGATGCAAGAACTATTTCATGTTAGTGAAGTGCTTGAATAAAAATGAGAACATTAATTCAGTCACTAAAAGCATCTCATGCTCACCAAGCTATAAAGAGCATGTCAATAAATCACTTACCACACTGACAAAAAACATCATGCAGGTAAGAGAAAATCCACTGGTATAACCAAGGTAACCTAGGAGTTAGCAGAGAAATTCTGGAAGGTGAATATGGCATCTACAATCAGCTTAGCTATTAGAAAATGAAATGAAAAGAAAAATTAAAATTGACTTTACCTAAAGTTTTAAGAAGAGAAAGTGGAAGAATGATTCCAACAGACACAAATATGACGAGGTAGTTGCCGTTGAGGTACCATTCTCTAGAAGACAAAGAGAGACAAGAATGTTAGGATCAGAAAAGACCAAGTAGAGTGAATCACTTGACGTTACAGAGAGAACATAAGACATACCCAGTATTTTCTTCAAGTCCCATGAATGCTCTGATTACTTCAGGTAGTTCATATTTAATGATAAAGAGGTAGCTTGACATTGCTAAAATGGAAAACGTGACAACTTAGTGGTGTGCACAGCACTAAAGTCACAGGCAAGTTGTGAGAAGTCCCGGCATTTGGGACATCCATTCTTCTCAGTAAGATGAGCATCTAATCCCCCAAACAGAAAAAAAAAGCCACTCAGTGTATATTCCGTACTCTTCCAAGTTCTTTTCAAAACTAGACATTCAGCCCTCTGGCTCTTGCATATGGACCTTTGCTAATAGTATCAATGCTGATTCTGGGTTCAATTCAGCTCTGATGTTTTCAGTGAAACTGCAGTTTCCAAGTTTTACCCTCGTTAGTTATGAGTCATCATGGCCTGTACTGAGTGTGCCTGTTTTAGTGTCTATAACTTGGGTAGGGGTCTGGCAACCAAAGACATGGGCCAGAAGAGAAAGGACAAAATTGCAGGGCGGAGCTGGGTAGACTACGTGTCCCTCTGGCTCTCCCTGGGTGGGCACCAGTCTAGTCCTCTGTAATCTCCCTGAGGGGCACACGGAGTCTCAGATCACTGGTCGTCTAAGCCGGAGTCATACTAGACTGATACAAGAATACAAGAGATGATAGCTTCTCCTCCCTTTGTCAATGGAGTTTTTTTTTTCTTTTCTATATCCTAGTCTCCCCTTGGCCAAATAACAAATTCTGCAAAGTGGCAAAATTTCTTGAGCATCTAGATAAGTGATATATGTGTGATCATGTATTCTTCTGAAAATCTGATGAAATCTATAAACTCTCTCTCTGGAAAAATGCGTATATATACATATGCATAACACACAATTTTGCTACAATTGTAGGGATTTATGCAACATCCCTTCCCAAGTCCATTCACTCAGTGAAGTATAATACTAATTTGTTATTGACATATGGTCAAAAGACTCAATTAAAAATTAAATTGATAAGTGTTACATTGCAAGATTTAAGTGTGTGCTACAACCTTCTGGTGAATTTTTGCTAACAGACATTTAAAGCAGATATCTAAGTTGCAAACTGAACTATTAATAGTTTAAAAATATTTCCTTAAAAAAATATTTCCTCAAACAAAAGTGATAATGATGAAAATAATTCCCCACATTGTTTAGTTCTGCAAGTCACTCCGTTTGATCAGCTGAAAAGCCATGTGAAACAGCAAGATGTATATTATTATCTTCACTCCACAGCTGAGGATATAAAGATTTTGAGAGCTTCAATGACATGTCCAAGATCACACACTGCTGGAAAATGACAGACCATATCCAAAATACAAGATCCCTGATTTGGGGCTAGGCTTTCTTCTCTATCGTGAGGTGAAATGATTTTTTACAATACCCGATGTGTCTTTTGTCAACATTATTTGGTTAATCTTTACAAAGACCTTGGCTAAAGCTAAATCTTACAGAGCGTAAACACAGGAGATATTTCTGATTAACTGGCTCAGTGGGGTACCATTCAATTTTAGAGCTATTAATTGCTGACTTTCAGTGATGTCATTGCTGTTAATGTGTTTGGTCTTTGAAAATTCAGAATGATCCAGACTTGTCTGAGTAATGTCAACACTATTCTGCTAATGTTGAAACATCTGTGGTAAAGGTTAATTTTTCAGGGGAATGAGAAAGTTAAGCATTCTAAATGTGGAATTGCTAAATACAGAAATACAAATGATTTGCCTTAGGCAAAATAACCACTAATCATATAGAGTAACCAAAATGAGAGCATTTTCAGAGAAGGTATATGAAATTTCGTCTTACTCCCTTAAAGCCATGCTTCTTTGGTGTGTGTGTATGTGGCTTGATCGAGAGTCCACTTTATAGTTTATTTCATTATTTAGAAGCACAATAATAGCTACACTTTGGGCAGCAGACGGTCCTGTTGCCACTCAGCCTTTTGGGTTCAGAGCTAAATATGTGTATGTCCAGTTATTTCAGTTGTCCAAACAAGTAAATTAAAGCAGTCTATTTGGTGGGGGAGGAGGGCTTATATGCTTGTGGCCCAAAACCAGTAAAATGAATGGAACAATCCTGGTGTGACTGTCAAATTCCACCCAGGACTGTAGTCTCAATACATAAAAATGTGAAAAGAAATAAAAACAAATCATTAAGATATGGCTGGAATTTATTTATCTGCTTACCAAGTATCCATTATCAGGAACAGGTATGGTTGGATAAAGGTTATTAAAAGAATCGCTGCATTCCAGAAACCCTAGGTGACCCCAGTGATTTTATTTACCAAAAGGGTCACCTCTGTGCAAGTTTATTTATTGCAGCATCATTTATAGCAGAGAAAAATTGGACAGAATCCAACTGTTCATCAATAAAGTCTTCAGTAAACCAATTATGGCACATTTGCATAGCGGAAAACTCAAAAGCCATTAAAAAGAATAGTATGCAAAAGCATTCAAGACATACTGTTAAATAAAAAAGGAAGCTGCAAATCAGTATTGCAAGATGACCCAATTTTATCAGTTACAATATACTTGCTAAATTTGGCATAGAGGCAAACATGGAGTAGTTATTTCTAAAGGTGCCATACATAAACATTTCTTTGTAATTTATGTATTTATGTAATGTTTTAGCTTTTCACAATTAGCATATATTTGTCTTATAATTGTAAAAATATCCATTTAACAAGTTATCAGGTGGGCTCCAGAGACGTGGAAATTGAATCCGAGAACCAGGAAGGAAGGAAGCCTGTACTGAACCCTTATTATGCACCATATGTTATCTTATTTCATCCTCACAATGACCTCGTGGGGATGGGATATTACTCTCATTTTGATAGATGGAAAAATTAGAGGAGTAAAGTGATTTTCCCAAGGTCACAGACAGTGACAGAAACAGAGTAAAATTCAGGTACATCACACTCCAAAAGTCTATTCTCTATTCAAGAGTTTTAAGATATCTTTTTAAAAACAGTAACATACCAGATACATACAAACAGGGCCAAGGGAGCCCAGAGGAACTGATACCTAACAGCCCAGAGAAGTGATGGATTGTGTGAGCAAACAGAGAGAGAATGCGTGTGTGTGTGTGTGTGTGTGTGTGTGTGTGTGTGTGTGTTAGGGATGCAGGACAAGAGGAGGGAACTGAATACAGTTTGTTATGGCATGACACAGGACACATAGGGGATAGATAGACAGGTGGATAGATATAGATGATAGATAGAGATAGGTGATACATACAGATAGAGATAGATGGATGATAAATAGAGAGAGAGATGGATAGATAGATGACAGCTGTGGGTTTGGTAGGGAAGGTATCAGAAAAGTAGGGAGAGGAAAGATGATGAAGAACCTTATGTGTCAGGACAAAGAGTTTAAATTTTACCTGAAAATAATGAGGGTACACTGAAGAATTTTACACACAAGAGAAACAAGAATTAATTTGAGTTTGAGAAAGTGAATCTGGAAGATGAATTAGAGATGGGAGCAGGGGACGTTCAAGACAAGGAGACCAGTTAGAAAGCTACTGCAACAGTCTGAGCTAGAAATAATGATCACCTGAACTGGGGAGAAGAGAACAGGAGAGGAGAGATTCAAGAGCTAAGTATGAGACAGAATGGACAGGAGTTGGTATTTGACTGGATGTCCAAGGTTAGGGAGAAAGGGAAAAGCTTAGGCTGAGACCCAGATTTCTGGCTTAAGAAACTGGATGCTGCTGGTATTGTTCATTGAGAGAAGGAAGAACGGAGGAATAGAATAGCAGGTTTGGGCAAGAAGCAAGTAGAAGTTGAGGAATAAGTGCCACTATGTGGGGATAGCTCTGCAAGAGGATGTAGCCAGTTGGACATCTGAAACATGGGTCTAGATGCTTCTGACGCCTAGCTAGATTTTTGCCTTAGCACAATTTCTAGGGACAGTCTCCAGTGGGTTGGCTCTGTGCAGGCTTGTGTCTCAAGGACCCCAAAATTTGGCTATGTCCCTCAGATACTTAATTTTAAATTTTATGAAATAAATTCAATCATACGTATGAAACATCACCCGTTCTGGCAAGGATAGGAAGAAACACTAATGCTTTAGTTTTCACAAGTAATAATTAAAGCCATAATAACATTTGAAATCAAGAGAAATTTTATTCTATGTTTTAATTCTAGAATTCAATTGATGGGGTTTTATACAGTATTTCACTGTTAGATATTGCTATTTTTAATTAAGGGGAAACAATAAATGAGAAAATTTATTTTTTACATTTAAGAACTATAAAGCAGATATTTTCTTGTATTTAAAGTGCTTGTTCATTGCCATAAGAGTTTTCTTATTTATTGAACATTCTTTAGGAAAGCTTAAGCGGTCTATTGAAAGCTATATCCCCTTACCTCCAATGTTCTGCATTGTAATGGAAATAAAAGCTCCGATTTTCCCAGGCCATCCAAATGCTCTTTCCCCTAATTCTTCATAAATTAAAGACCCTACAATCAAAGATAAAATATCCTTGTTAAAAAGGTTATTTTAACGACTAACATATTTCTATAATGTAATTCGACACTGGAGTCTCAAAAATGTAAAGAAAGACCATCCGGAAATTATAAACCCAAAAGATGCATTCTCAAAAACCGGTATGAAAGACATTAGAATATTCTCCTAACAAGAAGCAATGGCTTCATTCGTGTTAGCTCCATGCAGCAAGTCAAAACTGTTATTTGCATCATCCACCAAAAATCTCTTTCTATTTGATTTCAACCTGAGCTAATTGACTTTCACTTCTCTCAGTTGCCCGAATAACTAAAAGCATTGAGAAACCATGTCATTGGGGTCAGAAGAAAATGAGATATGAAATTGACCAAAATCATCCCACCGTTACGGCGCTACAGGCTGAAATCCCCTTTAACGAGAATCAAAATGGAACATCTGCGACTTAGGGGGTAGCGTACCTCCTTCCTTGGCAGTCTTTAATAAGAGGTGAACTGAATAGAGCGATAATATTGCCACAGCAAGCAGCATGATTCTGTGGAGAGAATCGAGAGTCAAAAATAAAGTGTTTATAACAAGACATAATGTTAGATGTTACAATAGATTATCACATTGGTCATTATCTTTCCAAAGGATGTGTATTTTGGGGAAGCTGAGAAATTTTTTTCAGAACTCCACACATACTCTTAAACGTCACAGAACTGGGATTTGCCAAATTTTATGTGCCAAAACCTACTACCTGAATTTCCTAACGTATTTTTTTTAGTGTGACCCAGTGGTAGAATCTGGTTCATAATTTAGATGCTAAATGTATAGCAAGTTAGCAAATACTGTATCTATTTACTCAACATACGGGTATATGTACATCATATTTGCATGACATATGCATCAACATTTATAATGCAATGGCTATTCAATCGTCCGACTAAACCCTAATTGAAAATCTAGAAATATAGAAGCCAAGGCATGCAGAGTCAGAGCTTCATTACCACTGATCGTGTGCATTAGATGGCAAGACACCTTGCGAAACAGAGGGTCAGACAATCGCCTGTGTAATAGAGAAACAGAGAAAGGGAAATGCAGGCTGCAGGAAAATTCCTTTGCTGTATTCAGAAAGAAGCATTTCTGATTCGGGACCCTCCACATGTCCACAGGCAGATATGGTTTCATGTACACAGTGATCAGTGTTTCTCCAAAACTGGGAATTGGAGAGCAAAAATAAGAATATAGATAAAAGTACCTTGTAATACATTAAGGAACAACACTAAACTTCACCTGAAATTTTAAAAAAACTCTTATTCTTTGTCTATTTTACATAATGAGAGCACACTAAACAACTTCCCCACAGCTGATCTGATTCTCTGGTAATTCCCGATGAAGCCAATGTTGCAAATGTATATTTGGACCATGAGTTATAAATTTTATAACTACCATAGCTATATTATACTCATTTTCCATAAAATATGTTGCCAGAGCTGTCTAATCAATGACATATATTTTTCCACAGGCCTTATGAATTTACCTGTTCTTAAAGAATTATGTAATTTAGACTATATAATTTTGTTCCCTGGGAAAATAACAGCATTCCCTGTATTCTAAACATAGACTTGTTTTGGCAGAAAATAATAAAAGTGAAACCAATCAAATCCTGTGTCACTTGCTGTGAATTAAAGGAGATTGCTGAACCCAGTCTGTCTATTGGGGTACGCAAAGCAGACCCACGATGTCTAGCAATTTAATTGCTTGGGCCAAATTATTTGGCTACATGTTTATAGGCCTGAAATGAGGCCCTTGGTTTTAAATCCTATGAGAATGATCTGTGACTCCAGGATTGGGGGGAGTGTTTCTTTTTTCTGTTCATCAGTGATCTATGATAACTCCCTAATTATTTGAATGGTATGTATAATTAATAAGGAGAAGGCAGTCTTTTTGTCTTAGAGATACCATACATTACAAAAGTATACAAATACACATATGAATACATCTCTAGCCGTTAAGATTCAGAAAATTAAAAAAAACTAGTTTATTTAAAACATGGCTTCTAAAAGTAAAGTTGATATAAAAACCCATTTGGCTAAAAAATATTATACCTAAAACTCTTCCATCAAAGCACTAACACAATATAAATATTTATAGTCCTGCCTATTCCTTAGCCCTCAAATAGCTGTGTGATTATCTAATCAGAAGTGATGCTCAAAACATAAATAGCATATATTTATAATATAAATGTTGCATTCTTAGACAGTTATTTAACTCTCCAGCATTGCCTTAGGGATTGTGATCTGCATTCACACAGATGCCTAACATTAGACTTTATTCCTGTGAAGAATTCCACTGCTGCCAACTGTGTCCTGGAAAATACCAGGTCATACATAATGCACACAAATGTCTGTGCCCGTCTGTCACAGACGATGCGGTGTCCACCCTCCAGGTCAGCTATGTGACACTGCTACCCTTAGGTAGCATTTGACCAAGTTTGGTTAAAGTGTGTAGGTTTAGGAATAAGCTTCGGCCACTCTGCTGACATTCCCTGTGCCAGGCACTGTGCTAGGACTTGGGGATACAGACATGTGGTGAGTAAAAACAGACATGGGCTCAACTCTCTGGAGACTGCAGTCTGGCAAGGGATACAGACATTACCCAAATGAATCAGACAACTGCACTAAAACATTAAAACTAGTGAGTGTATAATAAGGTGGTTTGTCTGAGTTACGGAGGTCAGGGAAGGCAGCACTGAGGTGAGGCTGAGCTGAGATATGAGCAGTTAACCAGAAGAAAAGGAAAAGAGAAGAGGATTTTTAAGATCATGTGCAAAGGCCCTATGGTGAGAGAGAACACGGCACCTTCATGGGATGGAGAGAAGGCCAGTGTGCCCAGTGTACCTGGTGCTTAGGGGCAGAGGAGATGGGGCATGAGATGGGACCAGGGCATGCACGGCTCTGTAGGCCTGGTGTGGGAAGCGGTCTTTTTCCTAAGAGTGCGATAAAGTCAGATTTGCTTCTGGGAAACAACAGCAAATTATTTTAAGCATCCCCTGAACAATGAATTACTTTGTAAAACGGTTCCTATGGACTGGTGGGGCTGCTCCAGCACTTGGGGTGGTTGAGCACATAAACTCTCTGCCACTGGGTTAGGGATGGTTGGTTGAACAAGTACTATGATTAGACTGCTTTGATTATTCCTCGGGTTGCTGTTTTATCTAAAAGAAAGAGCAATATGCTAATACTTTCTCAGATTATTCCTGTTCACAAAGATCAAACTTCAGATTGCTAACTGACAGAACACCAGGTATGTACAAGCTTTGAACCATGCAGATATGTCCATTCACTTACACAAAAAGTATGATCCCTGTGTTGGCCATGGCATAGGACAGGCCCAAGATCCCACTGCCCATGATGGCATTACTCAGGTTGAATGAAGACATTCCAAAGGAGGTGGTTCCAGGATGCTTGAAGAAAAAGGGACACATTATAAACACATATTTGCCAAAGGATGAAGCTTTTGGGGGTTATTCTTACTCTCACATCATCTTTACTGCAGGAGATTATGGTCCAAAATAGAAGACTAAGATAAAATCAGAGTGACTACAGCCATTACTCAATTTCAATAAAAGCGTGTAATTTTCAATGGAATGTTGCGCTTGGTTTCAGCAGGGATCTCAGTAAAAATAAAAAATACAGGTCAAGTAACACAAAGAAGGGAAAGCATGTATGATGGCAGATTCCATTTGGGTTAGAATGATTTCTCCAAAAAACAAATAAATTTCATAAATGATTTATACAGCCATATGGCGAACAGGAAAAACAAGCCCTTATTCCAGTAAGGGCCTGAATAAACAGAGAATGTGCTGATGAAGGCTTGGAAAATTTCAGTCACATTGTTTTCCCGCAGAGACCTAGGTAGATCAGACACCCTTAAGTCCTGTTTACTGCCTGAGAGCAGAGATTCACTCACATGTTCATCATCATAATCTGCCAGCTTCTTTTCCCCCAAAAATCCACTTGTCAGGAACTTCTGACTTTCATCATCTCCATTAGCAAATTGACTGAATGCACACACAAAAAAAGGAAAATAGGAATGTAAAAACATCTAAGCAAATGTTCTACGTTACACGAATGTTTCAGGTGATGTAAGTAACTGATTAAGGGGAGGAAAAACAAGACACCTAAAACCGTTTTCTTCTCCTCCTTCCTGCTAATGTTCCTTCCAGACCAACACCTGAGATCCAGTTAGGAATGTACCTTGGGAGGGAGGGAGGAAGTTATGGAGGAAGAAAATATTCTTTTAATGGAGACCATTTTTAAGCCACATTTCTTCTTCCCACATTAACTGTGCAAGAAAGAGAAGAATTAGAGCTAATTCTGCTCCCATTTAGAGCCCTTCCCAAGAAAGCGTACAGAGTAGTGGCTGAGTTTTCTCAACTAACACACCGTGATCAGATGATTTTATTAATTCAATAAATATTTATTAAGTGCCTAGGTACTGTGATCTTCATGTTATTTCATGCTCAAGTATCCATAAGAGAGGAAATCTAAAGATGAGGCGACTGTGGCCGAGAAAGGTGAAGCAGCAGGCCCCTACCCACCGGACTGCAAGTCTAGGATCTTCCAGAGCACCCTGCAGTCCCAGGCAGGGCCCTGTAGCTGGTATTTTCCTCTCTTTTGGCTCCATCTGTTTATCCACATACCCGTTGCTGGAAAGTAGTTCAACGGTAGCTCTGTGTTCTGTTTGGTTGTTTTCATATGTGAGTGTGTGTATTTTAATTACTCTGAAAATGTACTCGGGTTATTAGACAATAGACGAAACTAATAAAAATATTTTTTAAATACTCAGTGAATTAGTAGAGGGGTTGGGAGGGAAGCAGGGCCTTAAAATCTCACTACCCACGGAACACTGAGATCACGGTCTGCTTGGGCATAGGCTGGAGCTGTGCACGCCTGTCTGTGCTGGTCGGCTCCTACAGTTACACGCCAGGGGCTTTGAGGACACGGGTCTAGTGGCAGCCATATTTCTAGAAGGCTCGACTAATGAGTCCAGCTGCCACCATTGCATTCTGACATTGAAAAACATCACACAGGCTTTCTTTTTGTTGCATGAAATGTTTGACTATATATGTGTCTTAAAAGTGCTTTATAATTAGATAGATTCCAATTTTTAGGGCATTTTTTTAGGGCATCTCTTGCATGAGAGAGTAAGATAAAATAGTTGGAGAGTGTTTTATCAAAATAAGCCGTGGAAATAAAAAAGTGGAAAATAATTATTACAGAAGATCTGTACAAATTCCCTTTTATAATAGGAGCTAATCCTGAAAATATCTTGTGAGAAAGAGGGATAACAGGCTTACTTTTTGAGAATAGAGAACAATATCAGTTGTAGATGGAAACAGCAGACGAAATCACAGTTTTATGTGCTTTCCTAGAACCCAAGGAGTGGGTTTTCTAGAACTTCACGGTGTACAAGATAGGAACATTTCCTGGTGTTCTCCTCGTATTTCCCGTAGGAAGTGTTATGCCCTCACATGCTGCCTTCTCCCATCTCTGCCCTCCACTCCCCCCTCCTTTTTGTGCTTTATTTTATTAGTCTGTAGTTAATCTACTTGCTATGTGGAGACTGGTACATAACGTTCATAGTTGACAATAAGATGAAATGGAGCCTAAAATAGGTCTAAGGATTATAAAAACAAAAGTGTCATCTGAATTTAAACTCTGGAATGTTCAACATTCTATTTTTTTACCTTAATCAATAAACTAGAATCCTTTAGTTCGTGAGTAGTGTTTAAAATTTAGAATGTGAAAGCAAATAGATTTTCTTTTTTGAGGCATTTGCATATTCTTATTTTGGCAAGAGATGAGTTGTAGTCATAAAACACGCCAAGATTGTATAAAATACATGAGAAATGTCCCCAGTGTCTGAAATGTTTTGATACTGAACCCAGCATGTATTGAAAAAGTAAGTATAATGATTCCAAATAAATGCATTATGTAGAATTTCCCAAAAATTTACATTTAAGGGATCGGTTTTAAAGCAAATATAAACAAAACCCATCTTTTTAAAGTGATTACAAAATTGCAGAATACTGCCTCATGTTTGAGTCAGGAGTTAAAAGCTAAGTCACTGGAAGTCATCCAGGAAACACTATACGAAGCTTAACAAAAACATTCTTGCTCTTTCCACTAAGACTTTTAGAAGACCAAATCAAATGACTCTGTAGGACTGTTTTGGGGACAGTGTCCCCTTCAGCTTGGGCAGCTCTGCAGAACTCATATCTGTGTGCATCCTTCTCAGAAACAAAGGAGCCCTCAGACTTGATCGATTTACTAAGGGCTATGAAGTGGAAGAGAAAGAACAAAAGTTTACTGAGCTTCATCTGCCTTCCAGGTACTCATTTCATCCCCAGGAAAGTAGGTGCTGGTTTGCCATTCTGCATTTTCCACTGAAGCTCAAAGAAGTGAAATATCTTCTCCAAAGTCAGGCAACTACTTTGAAGATTCAAAAGCCCTGTGTTCTACCACGCTGTGCCTCCTCAAATCGTGCAACCCGGAAGACGCTACGATTTCCATCTCCATGGCCTCTCTAGCCCAACACCGGAGTTGTCTGCACTGACTCCTTGGAGGAAGGACAGTGCTCCTCCTGATGGGCCTTTCCTGGATGTGATGAATGAAATGAGACGTCCTTGTTTGAGGATAATATTCTCTATTTCGGGTCTAGATTTGGTCCAAAATTCACTTCTGCATGTCCTAAGTCCTATTTGCGTTACACGCCCTATTTGTGTTATATAACATTTTGTGAGAAATTAATTGACTTCTCAAATAACTATCATGCACTATTACGTACCAGGCAGTGTGATATGTGCTAGGACCAGAGGCTATTAACCTGTTGTAGTGACATGATGACCATCTGGATAGGGAAGGGGTGCACAAAAGACGGAGTGGTCACTTCTACCTGGTGGAAGGCTTCACAGGAGACCTGACACTGGGCTGAGTCTTGAAGGATGAGAGGCATCAACAGAGAGAAAGGGGAAGGTGGGTGGATGATACTTAAAGTGGGCACTCCAGGCAGATGGAGCAGAATGAGTGAAGTCACAGGGAGCTGTGGTGGCTCAACAAGGCTAGAGAAGAGAGTACAATCTAGGAACAGAGCAAGAGAGAGGAGAGGAGAGCTCGGGGAGGAACAGCTCATGAAAGGCCTTACATGCCAAGCAATGGATAGTCTAGTCTTTACCTGATAGTTAATGGGGAGCCACTGAAGGGCTTTACCCAGGGATGGACCACGAGTCAGTCTGCAGTTACAAAAGATTATTTTTGTAGGGACATGGAGGGCTAGTTGGAAGAGAGCAAAATGTAAGACAGGGAGACAAATCAGAGCTGGTGTAATAGACAGGTGACAGATGATGAGGGCCCAAAGTAAGATGGCAATAGAATACAGAGAAGAGGGTGGATCTGAAACATTAACAAGGTAGAACCAACTGGATATAATCAAACAATAGATGTGCAGTTTGGGGGAAGAAATGAGTCAAAGTTGAACCCTAGGATCTTTTGATTGAGCTGCTGAATGGTAGTGGTGACTTTCACCAAGATTGGGATTACTGGAGGAGGAGCGGATATTGAAGGGAATTATAGGCACTCAACATTAGACATTACAATTGGACTTTATAAATGAGGCAATTCAGACACATGAGTAGAGATGTGTAATAAACAGTTGGATATAATGATGTGAAATCTGGTTGAGAAGTCTAGCAGGCTGAAGATATGGCATATGTTCAGTGGGTGAAGCCGGGAGAGTTGTGAATGAGCTTGCTCATAGGATATTTTTAGTGAGAAAAGAATCCTTACAGAACAATGGAGATGCAGCAACATTAAAAGGGCAGTCAAAGGAGGAGGAAGCTGAGAGAGAATAGTCCAAAAGGCAAGATGAGTGATAGGCTAATATAATTTAAGTTATTCCAGATTACTAACAGGGACAAGAATCCTGTAACTTCACTTCTAAAAGAGTCACACAAAGGATTGACACGTAATAATGATATAATAATGTGTACTTCAGGATCAGGGAGTTGATATATTAACATCGATGTCATCGTCATCTCTCAAATGGACAATAAATCCAATTCTTTAACAAAAATCTGGTTTTTCACATCCATAAATGTTTCTTATTTTTCCATGGAACTTGGTCATTTTTAACCCCATACCTGCTCATTGCTGACTTTTCTAAATTTCCCATCCCGTTGTAGCTATCTGGAACACTTTCTCCACTGATGCTCTCATCATCAGGTTCGATGTTGACATTTCTCAGTTCCATGGGGTCCATTTGAGCTGTCAGCGCTTTCTTGTCCACACACAAGCTCCTTCAGTGTAAACAAGATACTGTACCTTCAGCTTAAGGCTCTTCTACTTTGTGTTGATGTTCAGAACACTCTGTTCTGCAAACAGAACACAAAATAAATCATTACATCTTTCTTTAAATTAGATAAATGAATATGAATCACCTACTTCGTGTATCCTTTCTGTAAAAACATGGAAAGGAAGTAAACTCTTGAAAATGTCACATAAATATATCTGGAAAGTTTCCTTTATCCAATACAAGAATGGAAAATGGGAGAGAAGAAGGAAAATTATTAATAAACTGCCAAATCAGCAGATATTTATAGAGTGCCTATATACGAACATGGCAGGTACTTTGCTAGTCACTGTGGGAAGAAAAAAGTAAATCTTAAGACATGGCAGCAGTCTTCAAGAAGCTTTAGGTATTTGTAAGCAGATTGCATGAATTAAGAGAAATGGCATCAAAAGTAAATTGTTGACTAAGGAAGAGTTGCCAAGGCAGAATCTATCAGTGTCTCTACTAGCAGTAACACAGGAAAATTACCACTTTAATTTGTTAATTGGGCGTGAAAGTATTAACACCACCAAAATGCTTGGTACATGCAATACAGGGTAGGATCACGTTTAGGGGGCCACTTGCAGGCACTTGGTTCATGAAGCCGAAGTCAAGAATAGTAACAAGAGGGAGCACAGGTTTATCTTTGAATCAGCATCAGTCACCATCTTTACAAAATTAAAATGCATTTTAACAACCATGAGATCCAGATTTTAGGCTCTGCTTTGTCTTTAATTCATTGAATCTCAGCACAAGTTATTTAACTTTTTTAGACTTTATTTTCCTCAATCATAAAGTGAAAAGGGGTGGACTGGCATTGCGTAAAAAGAAAAAAAAAAGGTACGAATGCATTATATTTTGTTGATACAATTTCTTCTGAAATTTTTACTACTAAAATCATTCAATTCTTGTTGAATCGTTGTACAGTAGGCCCCTCTTATCCATGGGGGATATGTTCCAAGACGCCCAGTAAATGTCTGAAACTGTGGATAGAACCGAATCCTATATATACTATGTTTTTTCCCATACGTACATACCTTTGGTAAAGTTTAATTTACAAATTAGGCACAGTAAGAGATTAACAAGAATAACTAATAATAAAACAGAACAATTATAGCAATATACTGTAATAAAAATTGCCATTGATCTTAGCAACCTCAGCATACAATTTTTTTTCTTATGAAGTTGAGAACTTTTACCTGTTCACTTAAGGAAGCATTTTACGGCTTCTCTTTGGCATATCTGAATTGCCAGCACCACTACTCTTGCACTTTGGGCCATTATTAAGTAAAATAAGGATTACTTTAACACAAGCACTGAGATACTGCAACAGTCAATCTGATAACTGAGATGGCTACTAAGTGACTAAAAGATGGTAGCAGTAGCACATACAGGGTGGACATGCTGGACAAAGGGACGATTCATATCCTGGGCAGGATGGCAGGAGATTTCATCACACTACTCAGAACGACAAGCAATTTAAAACTCATAAATTGTTTATTTCTGAAATTTTCCATGTAATCATTTTGGACCATGGTTGACCACAGGTAACTGAATTCACAGAAAGCAAAATTGTGGAAAGGAGGGAATACCGTATTGATAAAAACACCATAATTCTTGGAAGGTATGGTTCTGGAAGGCACACTATCCATTTGATAAGGAAATCCTGAGCAGAGAAATTAACATAAAAATTGCTCTGGAACTCATGAAATCCTTAAATCCTGTGACAAAATGAAACAACCACAAGGGAATGCCTCCACAATCCAGTGCTGCAGCAGCACATCTGTGGAAGGTCATTCACGCGTGGGATGAGTTCACACTCCAAATTACAAAAGTTACAAAACACACGTGGAAACTCATTAGGATGAGTGTCAGGAGGCACAAGAAATGATAAGATTCATGCTTGAGTAACTACAGATTGCAAAGCAAATTAAAAGGGACTAAAATTAATATAATAAAGAGTAATAAAAAGATTCAAAATAAGAAATATCCACAGAATAAGAATGTTGTAAAAGAAGATCAGGCTAGCTTGAACAAAAGCTGAAAAAGGAATTCTAAAAAACAAAATATAGTCATTGAAATAAAGAAAGTTCAGCTGAAGGGAGAGTAATGAAATTGGAAGACGGATCTGTGGAAATCACTCAAATTATATCACAAAGAGGTAAACAAAAAAAAATATGAAGAAGTTAAGAAATATGGGGGGGGGGGGAAAATAAGAAGTTCAAATATACTCTAATAGTCTTTCTAATATGAGAGAATTGTGAGACTAGGGAGAGACAAAATAGAAAGACATAATGGCGGAGAGTTGTCCAGAAATGGAAAAGTCAGTAATTCTCAGGATTTAAAAAAAAGCACAAATTGCTTCAAGTGGGAGGAATAAAAATGAACATATTTATTAATACAAGGTAGTGTACATGTGTAACATCAAAGATAAAGAGAAAACTCTTAAAAGTCACCAGAGGAAGTAGAAGTAAGACATACATATGGTTAAAAGAAAAAATAGAAACATAATAAACGAGTACAAAGGTTTCTCTCACCCATCACCTAGTAGCAGTTTCATTTCCCAGTAGCCACCACTCACTAATGACAGTTTCTGTTTTTAGTTCTTCAAAGTTAGTCATTCTAACTTTAAATTATTCACTAAAACCTTTGACTTGGTGTATCAACTCTATGGCACCTATGACAGATAAGAAAATTAGTGTACTTCTTTCTATCTTGCCTTTCCTCCTGCTCCTAATTTCAGTTTTAGTTAATGAAATATTTTTTACAATGTTGAGATTCATAATATTTTCATCCTATTCTGTAAAGCAATTAAATGTCTCATAATTTGTCTATAGGTTATTTCTAAATACTAAAAACCAATAATTAGCATTTACAGCATTATGACTGTGTAAATAGTATGTTCCAAAGAACCAAGCGGCATATTTGACTACATAATAAATAAAATAGAATCCTATATTACTAAAACTTTGAAAGTGAATTTTCCATGCTTTTTTACTTTCAGAGTGGCTTCCTCCTCCATCCTCCGGACCTCACCCAGCTGCCAATGATTCTTAAATGCCATTCGCCTTGAATAACTTTTTTTCACACAACGTGTCTATGTTTGTAAACAGAATTTGAGTTGTTTCATGTTGGAAAATGTCTTTACTTTGTGCTCAAACTTTGCTGATTGTTTGAATTCTAGATTCAAAATCATTTTCCTTCATAATCTTGAAGACATTTGTCTCAACTTCTAGTTTCTACTGATGAGTCTGATTCTCATTTATTTGATTTTTTTCTTCTGAAGGATTTTAGAACTTTTCTCCTTATCATCAACTGAAATTTCTCCAGGATGCAAATAAATGTGAGTGGTTTCTAAAATTCATCTTGCTCAGCAGGTGGAGAGCCCATTCAAATCAAAAGACACGTATCTTTCTTGTGATCAGAAAAATGCTGTGTTATTTTTAAAATGGTTTCCTCCCTATATTTACTCCTTTTAAAACTTTTATTAGTCAAGTTATTAGACCTCTTGATCTATATTGCTAAAATTTTCCCTTTATGTTCCATCTCTTTGTCTTATTACTCAAAGTTCAGAGATCTTTCCTTGATGCTATGTTCAAAATAACAAATTTGATTTTCAGCTGTGTGATATTGTGATATAATAAGAAATATATATTTGGTTTTCATTCCTGGTTCCTGGCACAGAGTTCCTAATGTAATACAATAAATTAATATTTGGTTTTGGTCCCCAGTTCCTGAAATAGCTCTGGAATGATAAAGTCAAAGGAGCATCTTTTGTTATTCATAACAAGCCCCTTTCGACCACACCTAAATTTATGTTAATGTAGTGATTTCTGAAAAGCCCCTAAGGTTGGGGGCTGGTTGCCAGGGGAACCAAACAGATGATTAGAAAGTTGAAACTTTCATCCCCACCCCTTACCTCCAGGGAGAGAAGAGAGGCTGGAGGTTGAGCTAATTAGTCGGGCTTATGTAATGAAGCTTCCAAGAAAAATCCTAACCCAAGGGGTTTGGAGAGCTTCCAGAATGGTGAACACAAGGAGTGGCTGCGAAGGTGGCACACCAGGAAAGAGCACGGAAGCTCCACACTCCTTCCCCATACTTTGCCCTGTGCATCTCTTCCACCTGCCTGTTCCTGAGTGGTATCCTTTTGTAATAAACCAGTAATCCAGTAAGTACACTGTTTCCTGAGTTCTGTAAACTGTTCTAGCAAATTATCAAACCCGAGAGGGGAGTTGTGGGAACTCCTGATTGATATAGCCAGCCAGTCAGGCAGAAGCACAGGAGATCTGGACTTACTACTGGCATTGGAAGTGGGGGCAGTCTTGTGGGACAGGTCACTGTGGGATCTGATGCTAACTCCAGGCAGACAGTGTCAGAATTGAATTAAATTATAGTACACCCAGCTGGTGTGGGAGAATTGGTCCATGTGGGAAAAAATCCCACACACCTAGAATCAGAAGGAAGTATTGAGAGTAGAGCAGGAAAACATAGTTTACTTTTGAACTGTATCTGTTTTATTTTTCATCCCAATGAATTATTTTTCACAATCATCTTCTTAATTTCTAATTATTTGTTCTTCTTCCTCCTTTTCATATCAACTTTTTTTGTTTTACAGATGCAATCTTTTCTCAAATCTTTCTAAGGATACTGAGTAGAAGTTTCAAAAGCTCCTTTTGTTCCCCAAATCATGTATTTTTTCTAGAGTTATTCTGTTTGTTTATCTTGGCCCTTCTCTTTCATATGGCTTTTTCCTTAAATTCTTAGCAATCCTCGTTCATATTTATGAAGGAAGAGTATATTGGTTAGCTGAGACAACTAGTACTCGGGATTCCTGTGAAATCATGCAGGCCTGTTTCTCTGATGGTTTGCTCCCTTGTAGGTGCTGTGGAAGTGGCTTCTCTGCAGCTTGTCTGTGTGCGGAGCATCCTGGAGAAGCCCACTTCCAGACTCAGCCGTCTCTAGGACAGGTGCCTCTGGGAGCAAAGCGCTGTGATGTACTTTCCTCTTGGTGGAGCTTCCATTCTTGCTTGTTGTTCCTCATTG